GGCACTGCAGCTGGAGCACTGCAGCCCGGGGCACTGCAGCTGGAGCACTGCAGCCCGGGGCGCAGGCTGGCAGTGCCCTCCGGGGCTGGCCGGGCTCCCTGCTGCAGTGCCCACTGTGTGTAGGCTTGTCACCAATCCCCCACCCCGGGGAGGGTGGCTGTCCTGGGCCACTGGCCTGGTGGCTCACCACAGCCCTCCTGCCCGGCTTGCAGAACTGCTCAGCCACCAAGGGGAACTTCCTGCGCAGCTCTGGCCCGTATCCCGACTCCATCGACTGGAGGAAGAAGGGGAATTTTGTGACACCCGTGAAAAACCAGGTTTGGAGTGTGTGACGTGGCCAGAGGGGGGCTGATGGCTGCAGGCAGGCCGTGCCCCAGGAGCAGTGCTGGGTGCCTGTGCCATGGGGAGCTAACCCAGAGCTGCTCCGTGCCTGCCCTGGGCAGGGGCTGAGCACGAGGCCGAGCCCAGCTGCCAGCGGGCAGTGGAGGCTCTGTGCTGCTGCCATGCCCTCTGCCCCGGGGTTCTCGGGAGGCTGCTGAGCCTGCAGCAGCTCCTGGAGCGGTTCCTCTGCTGTTCCTCGTGTAGGGTGCCTGCGGGAGCTGCTGGACCTTTTCCACCACGGGCTGTTTGGAGTCTGCTATTGCCATTGCCACGGGAAAGCTGCTGTCCCTGGTGAGAGATTTTCCTGGGCTGGGGCAGAGCCCTTTTGGGAGCAGGCTGGAGCCAGAGGGGCTGGAGGCTGCTGGAGCAGGCACGGGGAAAGAAGCTGTGCCTGGTATTGTCAGCTGGCTGGGGCCCCTCACTGCACGCAGCACACTGGGACATGTTGATTTTTCAGCTCCTGGAGGATTTATATTCCTGAGGAACTAGAAAGACAGTAGCCACTTACACAACGTAGCAGAATAAGTGAGGGTTGGGTGTGTTAAAAACAAACCTGACCTTTGGAAGACATCCCAGCCAGTCCTTCTGTGGGGGGAGAAGGATTCCTGGCAGGCGTGAGGAGGAATGCCTCTGGCAGCCAGGGCATCCCAGGCTGATGGCTCCTTCCTTGTCTGCCTCCTGGGACATGGAGGCAGTTCCAGGTGACTCCCATGGCTAAACCAGTGCTGTGGTGGTTGTTACAGCCAGCTGCACAGATAAACCAACTCTCAGTTCCTGCTGTGCAGTTGCTTTTTGTGTCACCAACTCTGAACACAGGTGTGGGACAATCACTGACTCAAAACCCTTCTCTGCAGGCGGAGCAGCAGTTGGTGGATTGTGCCCAGGCCTTCAACAACCATGGCTGCAGTGGGTAAGTCAGAGAGGGCCAGAAAGAACAGAAATCAGAGTATCTTGCATCCTGTGATGGACAGCCTTCCTCAAGATCCAGTGTCAGGATCCTGCCACATAATGGAATGGCTTTTGTCTTCCCTTGGCTGCAACGGGTCAGGGGAAGCAACTTTGGTTGCTTATTTTAATTTCACACTCCCTGGAGCTTAGAATGTTTCACTAAATCTCCAGCATTTCCCAACCTCTGCTGTTCCTCATTTGTTGGTTTTTATCTGAGGTGTTTTTCACACGGCAGCTGGGCTCTGCTGGGCTCTGGGACAGCAAGGGGAGCTGTGGCTGGTGTTCTGCCCATGGCTCACGGGTGTCTCGTGGCACCCTGAAGAACCCACAGAAACCTTTGCTTCCCCTTTGGGAAGTTCCTCCTGGCTTTGCTAGAGAAGGCAGAGAGAATAGAGCTTTCTGACAACTTCTGTTTTCTGTGAGATAAGCTGTCCTAGAGGGAGGCTCAGAGCTGAGCAAAGCCACTCTTGGTGCTTTTTATTTTTCTTGTGACTCCTCCTTAGGCGTTTCCACATCGGCACTCCCTGATCATCTCTCTTTTCTTCCCTCCTGAGATGTGCTTCTGGAAGGTGGCCAGGGAAGGGAGCAGCTGCTTGCTGGAGATGTGGGTCTCTCAACGTCCCCCAGCCAGGCTGGGCAGAGGGCTCCAAAAGCACCTTTCAGCATGTGAGGCTGGTGCTGTCCTGTCAGGGTTCCTGGTGTTCCTCTCCAGGGATCTGGAGCTGTGACCATGCCAGGCAGCGTGGTGGGGCAGCCAGCAGTCCCAGGCAGGGAGATGCTGCAGGGGCAGACTGGAGTTTGTGCCTCTGGGATGGACACTGCCCTTCCCTGTCTCCCTGGCTGCTGGGAGTGCTGTGCAGAGGGGGGAATGTTGATGGCTTTGCTCTGCAGAAGCTGCAGGGTTACCATCCAAATCCATCATTGCCATCCTAATTAATTGTTACCATGCTAACCGAGCCATGTTGTCTCACAGGGGCCTGCCGAGCCAAGCCTTCGAGTACATCCTGTACAACAAAGGGCTCATGGGGGAGGACAGTTACCCGTACCGGGCCAAGGTACTCCAGCACTGCCCCGGCCAGCAGGTGAGCAGGGCCTGCCATGGGCTCCAACAGCTCCTCTCTGTCCCCACAGAACGGCACCTGCAAGTTCCAGCCCGAGAAGGCCATTGCCTTTGTCAAGGACGTTGTCAACATCACACAGGTGAGGCCCCGAGGGCTGCGCTTCCAAACTTTTTGGAAGGTGGCACCGAGGAGGTGCTGGAGCCAAGACAGAGGCCCTGGCTTGCTGCCTGCTTCCCACAGTGGGTGCATCTCCAGGCTGGGACAGAGTCCTGGTTCTCATCTTACAGCTCAGCACTCGATTCTGTGTGTACATGCAGGAAGGCAGGGTTATCCATGCCCGTGTCCTGGCTGCTGGACCTGGACTGGTCCCAGCACAGCCAGGAGATGATGGATGGCCCTGGGTCCTCTCTTGCAGTATGATGAGGACGGCATGGTGGAAGCTGTGGGGAAGCACAACCCAGTGAGCTTTGCCTTTGAGGTGACGAGTAACTTCATGCACTACAGGAAAGGAGTGTATTCCAAGTGAGTGTGTGACCCTCGCTGGTGAGCTGGGGGCAAGGGGAGCGTGGAGGGATGGAGTCATGTGCATCCCTGTGCAGCACAGGGAGGAGAGCTGCGTGCTAGGAACCTGTCCAGCCTGGAGAGCAGATTGTGGTGCTGCACTCTCATCCCCTCAGGAACCCCCAGTCACCTAGAACTGCAGGGAAAAGGCAAGGGAGAGTCTGAGCCTGAGGGATCTGCCCCAGGCAGCTCTCGGGAAGGAGCAGGTGCTGATTCCAGTGGCTTTGCTGGATCTGTAGCCAGTGATGGCAGAGGTGAGTGCCAGGGCAGGGACATGGTCAGAGGAACACGCCAGGAGCAGTTCTCCTGTGGATTTACAGTCTAAGGTGGGTTTAAAGTCAGAGTACATGGAATAATTGATGCTCCATTGCTTTCAGCCCAGAGCAGCTGTTAACAGATCAAAAAAAAAAGAAAATCTGAAGTGGATTATTGATCTTTTCCTGTGCTGCAGTTTGAAAATGTTTAAAAATAGATGCTCTTGAGGTGGGAACATGTACCATGAGCTTGTTTCATACCACAGGCAGCAGCTTTCATCAAGTGCAGTTTAAAGGTTGAAATTTTAGAGGAAATACATATTTAGACTCAAGAGCTCTGCGTTCCTGTGCAAAACATGAAACAGTGCCCTTGAATTTCAGGGCAGTGCAGAGCAGCTCTGGGAGGCACTAAGAGCTGCTGGTTTCAATTGGGAAAGTTCCTTTGCACTGTAGCTCGTCTTGGTGGGCCAGGAGCTCAGAATTCCAGGGATTCCCTGACTCCAGATACAGCTGGTGATTTCAGAGTGGAAATCAGAGCAGTGTCTCCTTTCCGTGGTTTCCTTCCTGGACAGTTCAGAGCATCCCGTAGCTCTGTGTGCAGGGTGTGGTTGGGACTGCTTTGGCTGATCCCTGGTTAGTTCCAGGCTGATTTTCACTCAGCACATGTGTGTTTTCTCCCTGCAGCCCCCGCTGCCAGCACACCCCTGACAAGGTGAACCACGCCGTGCTGGCCGTGGGCTACGGAGAGGAGAGCGGCACTCCGTACTGGATCGTCAAGAACTCCTGGGGCCGCCTGTGGGGCATGCAGGGGTAAGGGAGGGGCTCCTGGGGACAGCCACAGTCTGCCTGTTCTGGGGACAGCCACACTCTGCCTGTTCTGGGGACAGCCATACTCTGCCTGTTCTGGGGACAGCCACACTCTGCCTGTTCCTGGGGACAGCCACAGTCTGCCTGTTCTGGGGACAGCCACAGTCTGCTTGTTCTGGGGACAGCCACACTCTGCCTGTTCTGGGGACAGCCACACTCTGCCTGTTCTGGGGACAGCCACACTCTGCCTGTTCTGGGGACAGCCACACTCTGCCTGTTCCTGGGGACAGCCCCATCACACCCACCCTCACACTCTGCAGCTGCAGTTGGGAAGGCACACAGGGAAAGGTCCCAGGCTGGGCTGGTGACACTGCTCACCAAGCCAGGCCTGGGCTCAGTGGGCAGGCAGGTCCCCAGGTCCCCAGGCAGCGTGGGCAGAGCTGCTGCTGGTTCCCCTGGCTCCTCTCTGCTGCTCACAGGGCTGGGGCAGGGCTGCTTGTGCCAGGGTGCGTTTCACAAGAGTTTCCAGCTGCAGGAATTCTTGGGAGGGAGATGCTGATTCTGGCTTGGGGTGTGAGGGGCAGGGAATGGCATTGCCTGGAGAGCTCAGTGGGGAGGGACCTTAAAGCCCAGCCCAGCCATGGCAGGGACACCTCACACTGTCCCAGGGTACACAAATCCCAGTGTCCAGCCTGGCCTGGGACATCCCAGGGATCCAGGGGCAGCCCCAGCTGCTCTGGGCACTGTGCCAGGGCTGCCCACCCTCACCTGCCAGGCTGGCTGTGCCAGAGGAGGGAACGCTCACTCACACCCATTTCTCTCTCTTTCAGGTATTTCCTTATCGAACGAGGCAAGAACATGTGTGGTCTGGCTGCTTGTGCCTCGTACCCTGTTCCTCAGGTGTAGGAACAGCCGGACGGGGACGGGGCTGGGCTGGCCCTGAGCACTGCGGTGGTGGAGGCAGAGAGAGGAGCCACACCTGCCTGCTCAAGGGGTCCCCTGTTCAAGGGGTCACCTATTCAAGGGGTCACCTGCTCAAGGTGTTCCCTGTTCAAGGGGTCACCTGCTCAAGGTGTTCCCTGTTCAAGGAGTTACCTGCAGGCAGCTTGCACACCTCCTGCAGCAGCACCACCTGAGCCTGCTCTGCAGCCAAACCCTGGCGTGCTGCCCTGCCCCTGCCAGGTTCTGTCCTCCAGCTGTGTCCAGCTGTGCCCAGGTGTGTCCCAGGTGTCCCCAGCTGTGTCTCCAGCGCCTGTCCTGTGACACCTGCGGGGCAGCAGGTGCCGGTTCAGGGCACACACAGCTCTCCCCCTCCTTCGGGTGGCTTTTTACAATCACCAGGTGTAAATTTTAGCGATTTTTTAATTTTCTTTGAAGACGATTTCCCTGTTCTTTAAAGGAAGAATGAGCGAGTGCTGTGATTTGTACACTTTTATCAATTTTCATGAAGTGTCTGCTATTTTTTGTATTAAAAACCAGGGTATTTTATTGCACAGAGAAGAAAGGGGTGATTTTTCTTTAACCCATTGGCGGAGACGCGAGAACCTCGGTGCCGTTTGTGAGTCGGTGCCGGGGCAGTGAAGGCGCGTGTGTTATTTCTGTAATCTCTCACTGACGATAAAGCCGGCTCGTTACCGGAGCGCTGCGCCGGGAGCTCTGAGTGCGGCTGCGGGACGGGCCCGGCCTGATGGCGGCGGCGCCATTTCCGGCAATGCGCCCATTTCCGCCGCCGCTGTGTACGTCACTTCCGCCGTGCCCCCTGCAGCCAATGGGAGCACGGGGGCGGTTTTGGCGCGCAATGCGAAGCGCGGGG